AGAGAGAGAGAGAGAGAGAGAGAGAGAGAGAGAGAGAGAGAGAGAGAGAGAGAGAGAGAGACGGGATGTGTTGGAGTGGTGCCTTTCTTCCATTCCTCTGAATAATTTTGGTATCTGGCACAAGTTGCTCTTGCGTTTTCTTTGGATCGGCATCTCAGATTTTTCCTTTGTTTCGTCCTTAAGGATTGGTGTGTGATTGTTTCCCCCACTTTCCTCCTCCCTCTATATGAATGGGCCACAATGATTGGTTAATCACCCACGAACGAATGTTGTATGAGCTATGACCAATGGCCGAAGATTTGATGCATGGAGATGGCCAACTCCTTCTCTTTGTTAATCGTGTGTGTTCGAAGCCAGATGCATGGATGGTTGGTGTTTTTCTGTCTGAGTAGGAACTAGATGAGCATGTTAGATGATTAGATGTTGGTCTCACAATAGGATTGCCCACCTTCGGGTTAGCAAGCCCGTGGGTACCGGTTGTGAGCCACTGGCCTTTATCTCCCCCCCGATCGACGGACAGGTCTTGTGCACGCACAGGTAAGCCCCGTCGAGGAAGGCTGTTACTTACACGCGTGTCTGCAAAACTTGTGCTCGACCCACTTCCCGGATGTCTGAATTTTTGTCCGCCCTGCAATATGAATATCGAAGTCCCCTTCCGTATCACTGACCGCGAATGTCTGAGGGATCGGGAATTCCGGGAATATTGGGAACACGTTTGTTTGTCTACACGATCAAGGGCAGAACCTCCGGAATTTCCCTACCTAACAGGGAACGAACGTATTTGCAAGTGGGATATTGACCGGGCCTTGGGACGTATCCCCCAATGCATCTCCCCGGCTGCCCTAGTCCATACACGCGTCACGTCGTCGCGGAACCCGGAATCATTATCCTAGAAACCGAGTTCCCTCCCTATCACCGTATCCTGCCCTTTCACTCCCTGACCATCGTCCCCTGGCAGACACTCGCTCCCTACTGGCCCCAACCCCCGTGCTCGGCGTGCTTGCAAGACCACGACTACCGAGCCTCCGGCTTCGTCCGGCGAACTCATTCGGAAGAAGAACGGCGAGAGCACAGCCTTCGGCTGAGACCGGCCGAGTCGGACTCCGGGACCTGCGGCGTCCGACGTCGGCAGGTGATCAGCCAGCGAGACAGCCATAGCGTTCCAGCAGTACACCAGATACGAGTCCGACCCAGACAACGGGACCAACGGAGGCGGTAGCTCCGCCCTCTGAAGCGTAAAAACAGGACCCCGACCCGCACCTACCCTCTTGCATCCATATCCCTGAAGCTTGTCACAGGAGATCTCAGTTCCGACTTGGGACTCCACCCCCACTTTCCTAAAATCCTTGGCACACCCCCTTTGCCCACTTCCAGGCCCACTCCCACTCCGATCAGGAAGTCACGCCAGGCGTGAGGTTGGGCGTCACAATCATGGCATATTTTTGGCCCGATTCTCTTGGAAATTTTCAACACGGTAGCGGAAGGTCAGAATCTGGGTAGAGAAATGATGGAAGGTGCGATTACTTTCATATAGTAGATGAAGAACAAGAAGAAGCATATAAGGAACTACCGTCCTATCACTCTCCTCAAAGCGGGGGGGGAAATCCTAGCTAAGGTCATATCCCGACGGATAGCAGATATGCTACCTGGCCTGATACACTCAGACCAGTCTGGGTTTGTAAGAGGAAGACCGGTACTTTACAATATCATGACCATAGCCCAGGCTAAGGAGATTATTGAAAGAAGGAAATTCTTAGAAGTCATATTGTTAATTGACTTTGAGAAGGCTTACAACAGAGTCAACTGGGAGTCTGTGGCCCAGGTGTTGGAGAGGTGAGGCTTCGGACCAGTATATTGTAATTGCGTCCGTAAGCTAAACTCAGGATCAATTGCATCGGTGGTTGTGAATCGTAGGAAATCCTCTCATTTTGAGTTGTCCACATCCCTGAGACAGGGATGCCCCCTACCACCCCTTCTTTACGTACTGCAGCAAGAAGTCTTGCTAGACATGATTCGTAACTCACCATTTAAATGGTGGTTACAGGTGTCCCCTGATTACCAACTGCAAAGTCAGTTTCAGCTGACGATTTAGCAGTCATCTCAGAAAACTCACCGATCTCTGTGCAGTTAGAGATTCGTTGAAGTTCTTCTGCAAGGCCTCAGAAGTTAACCACCAGTACCTCCACATTTTTAGGACGTTAACGCGGTGGCTGAATCAGTGCGCTGCGCAGGTCCATATGCATTTGCCTCATAGTCTCCCCAGAGGGGGCCTAAGACCCCCTGGGGTACTGGTGGTTTAAGGTCAGCTGGACTAAATTGGTTGCGCTTTCCAAGGAGAACACACCATTGACGGTGGATTTGGGAATAGACGTGAAGGATAGGGATCATTATGAACGACTTCTCGGGATAGAAATACCTTATGGGAACAAAGAGAAGAACCAAGGTCAAAAAAAAAAAAAAAAAAAAAGAGGATTGTAACATGAAAAGACTTTCTACATGATCCAAGGTTTGGTCAGCTTCCCTCTTTGGGAGAGCCATAATAATAATCAACACTATGGTTCTATCAACCATATGGTATATCCTGTCTATCAAACCCGTCCCCACAAGTTCTGAGCAAGAACTCAGACAACAGATCTCCACCTCCCTCTGGAAAGGGACTGTGGGAAATGGTAAAGCCCTGCTCAAGGTTGCATGGTAGAAGATCACTCAGAAGAGGGCTGAAGGGGGGTCCTTGTCTGCTGGATATCCTGATACAAAACACTGAAATAGAATGAGAGACTCCTTGTACTTTACTCTAACCGACCGTAGATCAGATAGCCCAGTGCATATTGATGGATGAATAGGGTCTATCAGACCCAGGGAGCTTCTGGGCTTGCCTTTTCATGGAGGGCTTTCTGTGAATGAAGGTTTAAAAAAATCACAAACCTGGGCTCCTATTCTAAAGGCTTGGTACGCCCTCAGTCCGTCGATTCTGAACTGGCCTTCGACAGCGGAAGAGGTCCTCTGCCAAAAGGCCCAAAACCTTTATGATAACCCGGCAGTCAGTGATACCACCGGTAATGTCTTTTGCGTGTCTTCTGAATGTTTTGGTAAAGTCTAAGTTTGTAGGGGCATTTATCAGATCAAAATAAAAGGAGTTGGGTTTAGGGTTCCCCGAATTCTCTAATACTATAAAGCAAGAAGCGGGTCTCGCGTGACGGACCCAACAGAAACCGGGCGCCGCCACGCGGGACCGCTCCCGGCCAGTGGGGAAGGGGGAACCGG